AAGTTTAAAAATTTTTTTCATTTTTGTTTCATTGTATTTTATTGCAATGAATATTTTTGTCAGATTCGGGATTCTTTTTTCAGTATTGAGATATATTCTTGTAACAAAGTTTGTTTATTTAAGACAAGGAAATATTATGTGAAATTTATCTTTTAGTTACCCTATTTCGTCTTGCGCTGGCAACAATGTCAACAGGAAGTTAAAATGATTGGTCAGTATCAGGGGCATACTTTCTTTGCGTGATCACTTTGTAGCAGATGTAGCGATATGACTAAAATTATTAGAGCTTCGTTAAGAATCTAAATCACACCTAAACACAGTTACGTAAATTTGATCAAACTGCTTGTGTATAAAGTTTAAAAATTCTTTTTATTTCATTTTTGTTTCATTGTATTTTTTGCAATGAATATTTTTGTCAGATTCGGGATTCTTTTTAGTATTGAGATATATTCTTATAACAAAAAAAGTTTGTTTATTTAAGACAAAGAAATATTATGTGAGAATTATCTTTTAGTTACCCTATTTCGTCTTGCACTGGCAACAATGTCAACAGGAAGTTAAAATGATTGGTCAGTATCAGGGGCATACTTTCTTTGCGTGATCACTATGTGTAGACAACGTTTTATATGATTGGTTCTTAAGTGGGGACAAATTGGTCTACGTAATCGAGCTAGTGTAATAAGAGACCACATGATCAATTTCGCGAGACTCGAAATGATGTCTGGGGTTTTATATACGCAATCTTAATATTTTTAGGACAGAGTGATTCAACACCTTGAAGGAACAAGGTGTATTTTTTATTTGTTGCCAGATTATTCATCTGATTTTTGGATTTAATAATTTATTTCCGTGGAAGCTCTAAAGATTGACTTTTTAAATAAAATTTCTGAAAAATATTCATGGAAGTTTATTCTGGAATTACTTGGAGACAAAGAATGTGATCCAAGTGAGTTGTTGTTATTCGTACATTAGATAACATCTCACGTCATCGTCTTCCATATTTGTACGTCGTCGGGACTCGAACCTGGATTCTAAGAGGATTATTTAGTAATAGAACTTGTATTTTCATTCTTAGGATCAAATTTTGAATTATATTCACAAACTGTAAGTCATGTTTACCAATTATTACATTCTTGTCTAGCAAAATAAATTGTTTTGCTAAAATATACAAAGCTTATTGGCTTTCACTCTTTTCTTTGTTACTGAGTTCGAGACCTAATCACGTAACAGCACATACACACACACACACGCGCGCGCACGTGCGACTGAATGCGACACAATTCGACTCGACACCAAAAAGAATACAAAATCATATCACAATTTCTGAAAGAAAAGATTCTAGAATAAATTAAAGTTGATGAAATGTAGAGGAAAGAAATCACTAAACCTCCATAACGTGACCAGGAAGAGGTTATTTCAAATTTATTCTAAATACTGTTGCCTAATGATAAATTTGGACCGAACATAAATCAAAAGACTGGGAATGACTTTGTGATGGTGAACATTTTAAAGCATGTTTTCTTTTCAAATAGTCTGAAAATAATTACAATATATACATTAAACACAATGGGGATAGAATACCTCCGGGACCTGTTTTGCACAAAATTTGTGTTTGTCGTGCTAATTAAAAAGCAAACTAACAACATACAATATAACGTTTCTATCAATTCGCTTACTGAATAGGGTCGAGATTTATTCGGTCAAAAGCCTTGTCAGCATCGAAGAAATACTCATGAACATGACTACCGTTATCGACATAGTAATTAATGACTTTCTTGAAGGCAAACAAACACGCATCAGTAGATAGATGTCGCCTAAAGCCAAAATGGTTGTCTTGGAACTCTATTTTACATCTTGATAGCAAAATTAATTCCATTGCTTTGGGAATCACAGTCGCCATGGCAACATGTGGGGATAGTTGTTTATGTCAGATATATCTTCAGTCTTGGACTTAATTATTGGTATTAAGAGTCAATCTGTTGAGGTCAGAAAGAATAAATGGATCCATGAACATGTTACTGAAACAAATCCTAAGTTGCAAATTTAACCTTTGACTAGCATTTCTAAGATGATCCGCTTGAACAGACCGGTTTTTAACTTGACAATAGTAATACATAAAATGTAGCATAAATGGATAAAATTACAGAATATAAATACAAATGTACGCAATATAATAAGGAAATATAATAAAGGATAGCTCTGGCGTTTCGTTGAAAATGCTAATTTATGTATCCTTAGCCCGCGTCTTGCTCCAGTAATGTTTTAGTCTCCCGTCCATCACATGTTAAGTATGCTTGGACGGCGTCTATTTTCATTTAGGATGAATTAGACATAATAAGAAGTCTTCTTGTGAAAACACCATGTTTTTGTACTTTAAATCTAGGAGTAGTATCGACACTGTACAAGTTATCCGGTAGCCTAATGCTTAGAGCGTCCGCCTCTGATGCGGGAGATCGTGGATGCGATCCCCGGTCGAGTCATACCAAAGACTTACAAAAATGGTACTAACAGCTGCCTCGCTTGGCGCTCAGCATTAAGATGTTAGTGTTAGGACTGGTCGGCCTAGTGTCAGGATAATGTGACTGGGTGAGACAACATGCTACATGTGTACGGCATAATGCCCTATTGCTAGACATCACTATTAACTGCCACACTGCAGATATCGTAGCGAAATGACTGAAAAATTGTTAAGCTACGTTAAAAATCATCACATCAAGTTATCTTCACAAATATGATTGAAAGAATGGTTGTGGTGGTGGTGGGGTTTTGTAATGCTAACTTATCAACGACTGCTTCATCAAAACAGTCTAAACATAAAAGAAATCAATAAATATTTACTCTTTCTCTCCATCAGTTGTTCCCATAGTCCTGTTTGCAATCAGTGATACACAAAGTGTCTTTTTACAATTATCTGAAGAATTATTAATTTTTACTAAAGTGTTGATTAGGAAAACATTTAGAGAGTCCTTTAGCATGGTATTATTACCTTTCTGTATGGATTTGGGTACACTTCATTTAAAAGCGATTCCGTTTTCTATTAGGTTATTTACTTTTGCTCTGAACTGAGGATAGCTCTCAAGGAGGATTTCAAAGTTGATCATGTATTTCATTTCCAGAAACAGACTGACACCCCCCTCCAGTTTAATCAGAGTTTAATCAGCATCAATGGCTTCTTGTGCATACTTTTTTCAGCCAGCAAATTTTATTTTAAAATTTACATAACTGAAATATACAAAATACTTTATTTCGTTTTGAGTAAAACATGTTTGTTCTTGTAACACAATGTTTAGAATAATGTTATCATGTAAAAAAAACGGCTGACTATTATTATTATTATTATTATTATTATTATTATTATTATTATTATTATTATTATTATTATTATTATTAATTATTTTTATTATTTATTATTATTATTATTATTATTATTATTATTATTATTATTATTATTATTATTATTATTATTATTATTATTATTATTATTATTAATTATTTTTATTATTAATTATTATTATTATTATTATTATTATTATTATTATTAGTAGTAGTAGTAGTAGTAGTAGTAGTAGTAGTAGTGGTAGTAGTAGTAGTAGCATATATATTTTTATTATCTTAATAATTCTTTAATTTCATTAAAAAATAACCTCAGAAGTGTGACTAATTTTAAAAAATATATTTTAAATAGCTGACAATACTATTTCTAATACTAACAGTATACTAAGTACTTAATATTCCAAATTATTTTCTTTTTAAATTCCTTAGAGAATTTTCATTGAAATATAATTAATGGGTTCCTTTTCCCAAAAACTGACATTAAATAAAAAGAAAAAAGCTAAATTTAATTTCGATTATATGAAAATTTAATTAAAAATATTAAACACTCCAGTGCATTGTATATAAAATGTTATACCATTTAAAGTCATCTACATCATTAATTAAGGTGGCAAAAGGAGAACGTTAGGAGATAATTAAAGTCTGTTGAGTACTGAGTTTCTGTGAACACCTATCGACAAGGATAATTCTATACACAGAACACTAAGTGTTTGTGAACACTGAATATTTGTGAACACGTCAGCGGGGAAAATCCCTAGCCTTCTATCTTTAGCATCCACGTAGGTATCCAAGCCTATTAGACAACAGGGGTTACTGAACAAAGACAAAGAAGTTAATCTCTCTAGAGTTTACAATAAGCTACCTTAGCAAAGAAGGTCATCCAGTTAGATTTTCAACTGTATTGTCAAAGACTGTTCGCCAGCCAATAACAGTGATTAAAATCTATTCTAAAAGATCTATGACACACTCAAATCCTCCATAAATACTACAGAAAATTGCAAGTTATTCAGATTGCAACGTCAGTGCTCCATGCCTTCTGGAAATTCTGAAATCTGGAATTTTGCTGTACAATACTGCAGTGGGACAAACATATACAGAATTTTGTGACAATAATTAATATAATCTGTTAAAGAACCACCCACTGTTTAAGGACTTACAAGTTACTCTGTTGGGCGATTTCAAGGTGGATAATATTCTTAAGAGCCACGTAGACATGTGTACACCAGAGTCTAAAATGGACGTGTATGCTCGTTTGCGTGCCCTTCAAATGTAATTTTGCAATTTATATGAGTTCTATCCACAGGAGACTAATCACTTGTCGGGATTTCTTCGATACCAATTTGCACTGATTGAAACGGAGCTTAATGAAAGCGATTACTCATGCAGCTATCGTGACTCGATTAAACTCTCAATTTGACATAAAATCATGGATCGTGTGGAGAAAAAGTGAAATTACTAGACGAAGCTGCAAAAGGTAATAACAGTAGTAGTAGTAGCAGTAGTAGTAGTAGTAGTAGTAGTAGTAGGAATAGTAGTAGTAGTAGGAGTAGGAGTAGCAAGAGATATATGCCTTATATACCTCACCAACGGCCAATGCTCTCTCTCTCTCTCTCTCTCTCTCTCTCTCTCTCTCTCTCTCTCTCTCTCTCTCTCTCTCTCTCTCCACCGCTCCGGTGGCATTATGGTTAGTGCGTCCGCCTCGGATGCGGGATGTCGTGGGTTCAATACCCGGCCGAGTCATACCAAAGACTTCTAAAAATAGTACTAACCGCTGCCTAGCTTGGCGTTCAGCATTAAGAGGTTAGTGTTAGGACTGGTCGGGCTGGTGTGAGGATAATGGGACTGGGTGGGACATCATGCTACATGTCTGAGGCATGATGCCCCAGTGCTAAGACATCACTATAAACTGCCACACTGCAGACATCGGAGCGATATGACTGAATTTGTTTTTAAAACTACGTTAAAAATCCAAATCACACACACACACATACACACATACACACGCACACACACTACTCTCACGCTGTTCTGTGAAAATAAGGAGGAATGGAATGTTAGGAATTCTGAGCTTCCATATCCAAAAAGAACTGCGATGGAAGCCATTGCAAAAGCTGGTGGCATCAATATTGAGTGGAGTAATTCTTGTTTGCCAACCAACGTAATAGGTGCAAAAACATTCGCACAGTACCTGATACAGAAAGAAATTAGTAAAAAGTCTCAAGGAATAAACTAACTACTGTATTTTGGATTTTTATTGCAGTTTTATGAACTATTGCATTCTTCCTTTGTTATAAATACTGACATCATTAAGGGACATACATGTAGTATTTGATTAATGTTTGTATTGTGAGTTTGTTGTGTTCATTTTTGTGCTTGACCTAAATGTGTAATGTTATGCCACTTAATATTATTTAGTAAAGTGATTTTATAAAATGGATATAGTTTTGCTTTTATTTTATGATTCTTAAAATCATAGTATTTTTCCATTTTGACAGGGCAAAAATATATGAAAGCTAAGTTTTAATGGTTGCTTTTTTAAAAATATGATTTTATGCTACATTTGATACAGAAATCAATATTTTCAACTGCAATTTATTTAATCATTTTCATTTTGTGTTGTATGCATAACTCAGTATTCTGACCTAATTTTTATTCATATTTTATACAAAATACAATATTCTGACCTCATTTTTATTCATATTTGATACAAAATACAATATTCTGACCTCATTTTTATTCATATATTATACAAAATACAATATTCTGACATCATTTTTAGTCAGTTCCATGTCATATTTTATACAGTATGCTGTATTTTGACTTCATCTTTATTTAGTCTTTTTTTTTCTGACTAGGTTTTCTGACTTTGTGATAATATTGATATCTAAATTTATATAGCAGAATAGCCATGCAGTTTTTATTTATGTAATATATGCACTGTTGTTTCCATGGGGTTTTACTCCCGCAAGTTACATGATTTTTTTTTACACAGTACTTTTCAATAAGTATTAAATCACAAGTTATGTATTTACATATTCAACAGAGAAGAAAAACATCCTATCCAGTGAAACAGATAATGTGTGTTTGAGAGACTGCTTTATTATTATTATTATTATTATTATTATTATTATTATTATTATTATTATTATTATTATTATTATTATTATTATTATTATTATTATTATTATTATTATTATTATTATTATTATTATTATTATCATCATCATCATCATCATTATTATTATTATTATTATTATTATTATTATTATTATCATCATCATTATTATTGTTATTATTATTATTATTATTATTATTATTATTATTATTATTATTATTAGTAGTAGTAGTAGTAGTAGTAGTAGTAGTAGTAGTAGTAGTAGTAGTAGTATCATTAATCACTCCGTTGGCCTAGAGGTAAGAGCGTCCGACTCGGATGCGGGAGGTCGTGGGTTCTATCCCTGGTGTCAGGATAATGTAACTGGGTGGGACATCATGCTACATGTCTGTGGCATGATGCCCCAGTGCTGTACATCACTTTAAACTGCCACACTGCAGACATCATAGGGATATGGCTGAAAAATTGTTAAAGCTACGTTAAAAATCATAATCACATTATTATTATTATTATTATTATTATTATTATTATTATTATTATTATTATTATTATTATTATTATTATTATTATTGAATACGTTTTAGCGATTTAGTTAATTTTGAGATAAATCCTATATATGACTGGTTTATTATAATAATGATGAATGGCTTTAGGTTGTAAAGGAATCTTTTAATGTTATATGATGATACTGATAGTATGGCTAATCTTCAGTCAAGAGTTTTAAACTGCTGACTTTTTAAAAAAAAAAGGAAAATCACAATTTTAACATTAAATTCTTTCAAAAAGCAAAGTGGTTATCAACGGGCTTGCTGGAATGTATAATGCACATATGTTTAGCAAAGACTCGTTTTAATTACATTCAAATGTTACTTCCTTAATACTCTGTTATCATTGTTTGAAAATAATTACTGATTATCAACCATATAATTGAATGTATATATGAAAATGTAATTAAATTGCATATATGAAAATATATAATTTTTTGTATACTGATCAAACAATTTATTGTCAACATTGCGTTAGTTGAAAATGCATTTAGTTTATTAGAAATTTATATAGGTTAATATTTCAATCTGGCACAAGAAAATGTAAAAGTAGTCTGTAATCTTCATTGATGATTCACCATAGTGTATTTTGTCCTAAGTGTTTGTTGTCAGAATGCATTAATGTAGAAAGTGCTTTGTAATTCTGTTATGTGCTACATACATAAAATATAGAAATTTGTTACATACAATTTCCTTGTGTTGAGACATTAGCATGTCCCTAGTGTGTGTAATTTTATGGCTCCAAATGAAATTATAATCCAGAAGTAATAATTCTTCAATATTCAGTACGAATATATAATCCATTATTATTGCAGTATTATAGGACTGGGGTAATTCTAGAACATAATAAATATCGGTCTAGTCCATAAAGGTAAATAATTCCAAACATTAACCAGAGTTTATTCTATGATTGCATTAAACTTTTATTAGTTTCCAGATGCAATTGTAATCATTAATTTCTTTTTCAGAAAAATATAATTCTGCCACATCTTTTATCCAGCGTCATTTAATCAGCACTATACAGCATGTATTGTTTTAATGAATTATTCTACAAAATCCATAACTATGAGACAACTTTAGTTACAAAATGGGGCCATCATCTCATTGTCAAATCATTTTAGTTTGAACTGATGTCCTGGATGATAATTACAATTTATAATATCTAGCGAACACTCTTTGATAGAGGTGACCATTGTCATCATTGATTACGTGCTGGGTATCAGCTCACCTCAACTCTGTGTGTGTGTGTGTGTGTGTGTGTGTGTGTGTGTGTGTGTGTGTGATTTGGATTTTTCAACGTAGCCTTAAAACTTTTTCAGTCATATCGCTACGATGTCTGCAGTGTGACAGTTTATCGTGATGTCAAGTACTGGGTTATCATGCCGCAGACATGTGGTATCATGTCTCACTCAATCACATTATCCCGACACTAGGTCAACCAGTCCCAACACTAATCTCTTAATGCTGAGAGTCTAGTGAGGCATCTGTTAGTACCATTTTTAGAAGTCTTTGGTATAACTTGGATGCAGTTTGAACTCAAAACCTCTCGCATGGAAGCTCTAATCAATAAGCCACCAGAGCGGTCTCCAACTGGACACAGACCAGAGTTTATGGGTTGTCTTGTTCTTCATCCAGTATCTGTCTATTAAAACAAGTCTGAATGATTGTCATTGTCTATTAAAACAAGTTTTATTATTGTCTGAACTACTTGGATGATTGTCATGAAAGGTTAACTTTATTATATGCTCATCTTTTTTTTCTCCTTTAACTTTACATTGTCAGAATCGTGCAATATTCACCGCTATTGATCACTTTCATACTGTATCCCACGTGCAAAGGGACTATCTTCTAACGTAAACAATTTTTTATGAATGAGCTAAAGCAGATATTTCATGGACGGCCAATACCAGCAAATGTTTCATAGACTGACACATACAAACTGCTTTGGCACATTCCGCGTTTACTTTTTTGATACAATGATTCAGATTTAACTATATATTGACGCTATAGAGGTTCCTCACAATAAAACGCAAGTTATACACATAAACTGTCTTCTTTAGCTGTTAATAAAAATGTGCCAAAATATACTTACAATTTACATCCTGAATTTCCTCAAAAAATATAATTTTGTAGATCTGTAAATCTGAATTAGGTGAGCCATGTTATGGGTTCTCAAGGTTGATTACACATTTTGAAATTTAACTGTAATTTCAAGTATATTCTAAGTGTAGTTACATCCTCCTTACTGCACTCAAAATGAAATAAACATTAAATTCCTCAGCATCTTTTCGATAATTGCAATGGAAAGGCTTCATAATTTTCTTTTCCAACATCGTGATCTGAATCATTCAATGACAGAAAAGAAACACGAATGCCGATGTAAACACAATTCAAAACATTAAATTGGCATACGCTGCTGGAAACCGATGCAAGTCACTTCATGTAGATATATCCATACATTAATCAAAAGATTGCATTGAATCAACAAAAATACCAAAAGGTATTCATTCCACATCAAATGGAAAAGTTGTTGCAATGCGTATTCATTAACAATATTACTCCAAATTTCAATTTTAAGTACAGCTAGCGCCATTTTCTTTCGAAATTTACGTCTAGCGCGCGACCAACTTCATATTGATCTGGGCGGGGTTATGCGCTCATTAATAATGTTGTGTAATGATCCATCAACGCTTATATATTAGTTCGGAATACGGCATACATTTAGTTACTTTGTTTCTTTCAGTGTATTTTTGTGTGTGTGTGTGTGTATATATATATATATATATATATATATATATATATATATATATATATATATATATATATATATATATGTATGTATAAGCCTTGGGAAAACTCGTTTTGTCAGAAGGATGTACTACACTCCCAAGGTTGTGCAGTATATTCATCCGAAAAACTCGTTCATATTTTCCCATACAAATGCAGTAACCTATAATTATTCTCAAATTTCTCACAAAGTCTATTTGGTCCCAGATGAAAATGGTGCTTAGTCATCTTGCTGTGGCCACCATAGCAGCCATTTTGAAAACCTTGTTATTGCTACACCTGAATGAATAGTC